TAGGTGTAGATTGACATAAAAGCATTAAAATAATCATTTCTATATCAGGCATAATTCAAGAACCTCTTTTACCTTTTGATTGGGGACAAACAGGCGCCCCCTAGGACAGGTGGGTGGACGTGGCTCGGAGAGTTGGACTTGTTGGAGATCGAGTTCTAATTGAGTCAAAGAAAGACGTACGGTCTCAGGCAGGATGAACTCGACCTCTTCTGAGGGCCCTTCCTTGACCTCAAAGACCCGGGACAGGGCATCCGGCTTGGCATTCTTGGGCCCGGGTCTGTAAGAGAGGGTGAAACTGAACCGAGAGAAAAACATAGCCCACCTGGCCTGACGGGGATTGAGTCTCTTTGCTGTGCGAAGGTACTCCAGGTTTTTATGGTCGGTCCATACCAAAAAGGACTTCTTCGCACCTTCCAGCCAGTGCCTCCATTCCTCCAGGGCCATCTTGACTGCCAAAAGCTCACGGTCTCCCACGTCGTAGTTTCTCTCAGCGGGGGAGAGTGCCCTGGAGAAGTAAGCACAGGGGTGGATCTTACCATCTGTGCTGCGCTGACTGAGGATGGCGCCCACCCCGGTGCTGGATGCATCGACCTCCACAATGAATTGTTTCTCGGGGTCTGGAGAGTGCAAGATTGGAGCAGAGGAAAACAATGTTTTGAGCTTCTGGAATGATTGGTTGGCAACGGAGTCCCAGATGAACTTGGTCTTAGATGAGGTGAGAAAATGAAGAGGAGCTGCAACTGAACTGTAGTTCTTAATGAACCTCCTATAAAAATTTGCAAAACCGAGAAACCTTTGCAGCTGTTTACGATCCTTGGGCTTGGGCCAATCCACCACCGCTGATACCTTCCCGGGTTCCATGGATACTTGACCTGGAGAAATGTTGAACCCAAGGAATGAGGTGGACACTTGGTGGAAAGCACACTTCTCTGCCTTGACAAACAAGTTGTTCTGTAAAAGGCGGGTTAAGACAGCTCTGACATGGCGACGGTGAGAAATGCTATCTTGTGAAAAGATAAGTATGTCATCAAGGTAAACAAAAGCGTAAATGTTAATCATGTCACGAAGGACATCATTAACCAGGGCTTGGAAAACGGCAGGAGCGTTGGTGAGGCCGAATGGCATAACAAGATATTCATAATGGCCATCTGCGGTATTAAAAGCCGTCTTCCATTCATCTCCCCGCCGTATCCTGACCAAATGGTAAGCGTTGCGAAGATCCAGTTTGGTGAATATCTTAGCATTTTGGATTATATCAAAAGCAGAGTTCATGAGGGGCAGAGGATACTTGTTCTTTATGGTTATTTTGTTAAGTTCTCTATAGTCAATGCATGGACGAAGTGACCCATCTTTCTTCCCTACAAAGAAAAAACCTGCACCAGCGGGGGATGCTGAAGGTCTAATGATACCAGCTTGGAGGGACTCTGTTATACATTTCCTCATGGACTCTTGCTCGGGACCAGACAAAGAATATAATCTACCCCGAGGGGGGGTAGAACCTGGGATCAGGTCAATACCACAATCGTATGGACGATGTGGCGGAAGGGACGTAGCTTTTGATTTATTAAAGACCTCTTTCAAATCATGGTACTCTTTAGGTACCTGACTTAGATTAGGATAGGTCTCCTCATTGGCTGTGACAAGGGTGAACTGGGTTGGCTCTGAATACATGTGGAATAACACTCATTAGCCCATCCTACAATCTCTTGGTTCCTCCAATCGATTTGGGGGTTGTGTTTGCATAACCAAGTGGAACCTAAAACCACTGGGAGTTGGGGTGAATCAATAACAATGAATCTGATCAGTTCCGAATGGTTGTTGTTGGATCCATAATGGCCAGATTCTACTGTCATGAACCAGAGGCCGGATCGCAAACAACAACAACAACCACGGAGAGGGTTAAAAGATTTATTGTGAAATAAAGTAAAACTCTGGAGTAGGTCCGGTTCTGGGCTGGTTCCGATCTTCAGATTGGTAGTTCGTGACTGGGTAGTGTTGTAGTGGCGGGCTGCCAGTAGAAGTAGAACTGATGTTAAGGTCCACTGGAACGGAGTCCAACAGGTTTGCAACTAAAAGATAAAGGTTAGTAGATGCAGGGGGAAAGAGACTAATTGGGGAAATGAATCTGTGGGAATCAGATTCAGGGATAAGGATAAGTCCGTGATACAGAATGAGCTTGACCTTTAATCCGTGATCCAAAAAACAGTCAGAAGGGAAAGGCAGAGTTCATACCGTGAAGTCAGTTGTTCAGCAGAAGTATCCAGTACGTGATCCAAAAAGAGAGTCAAAAAACAAGAGCATGAGTCGGTACCTGATCAGATGAACAAAAGCAGACGAGGGCTGAGGCAAAAGCATGGTCGTGGTCAAGGCAAGGGTCATGAACGTGATGAGTCAATCAATGGAATGCTGGAAAGTCTACTGCTGATGAGACAGGATAGAGAATCTGGCCCAGACTGAGAGGAATGAGTGAACTTAAGTACTGACTGGACCAGGTGGTGGAGCTGTGGGATAATGAGCGGTGACAGGTGACATGAGTTGAGTGATTACTGAGTGTGCAGCATGACAGAGGAGCTGACAGAGAGCAGAGCTATGACAGAACCCCACCCTCAAGGTCCGGCTCCTGAAGGACCACCAGTCTGGAGAGGGTTCAGTCGATGAAAGTCTCTAATGAGGGTTTTGTCCAGAATATTGCGTGAGGGCACCCAGGAACGTTCCTCCAGGCCGTACCCCTGCCAGTCTACCAGATACTGGAGTCCTCTCCCCCACCTTCTGGATCGAAGAAGGCGTCGGACCGTGTAGGCTGGGCTCCCCTGAATGAGTCGGGCGGGTGGTGGGAGGTCGGTGGTGGGTCGAAAACGTGGCAGGACAAATGGCTTGAGTCTTGAGACATGAAACGTTGGATGAATGCGCATGGACCTGGGTAACTGTAAGCGAACAGAGACAGGATTGATTATTTTGGTAATCAGAAAAGGACCAATGAAACGTGGTGCTAGTTTCTTAGATTCCACACGGAGAGGAAGGTCCTTGGTGGAGAGCCACGCTTTCTGGCCCACCTTGTACAATGGTTGAGGCGTTCTCCTGCGGTTAGCCCCCCGAACGTACCTCTTGGTGGCCAAAATTAGGGCTCTCCTGGCTTTTCTCCAGACTCGCTGGCAACGTAAAATTGCGAGTCGTGCAGAGGGAACCCGAGCTTCTCTCCCCTGGACTGAAAAAACAGGGGGTTGGAATCCAAAGACAACATGAAAGGGTGAAATACCTGATGTAGAGGATGGAAGAGAGTTGATTGCTTGTTCAATCCAAGGGAGGTTGGACGTCCATTTCCTCGGGTCCCCCTCGCAGAGGAGCCGAAGCTTGGTCTCCACCTCCTGGTTGGTACGCTCAGATTGTCCATCCGTTTGGGGATGAAAACCTGA